CATAATAGGCCACACCGAGAGCAGAAACTCATTAGGAATGGCTACATTAGGGGTGTGTGGCCTAACATGCAAAGGAGTTCCTGCTACAAAAAAAGCTCTGGGTTTTGACAACAAACAAGGTAAACAGAATAAAAAGCAAAAGGTGCGTGTGGCTGGATGACCACACTTCTGGTAACATGGGGGTGCACCCTAATATGCTAATGAGCTGTGTTGTCAGGGGTGTGGCCTAATATGCTAATGAGTTTCTGCTGTTGGGTGTGGCCTATTATGCTAATGAGTTCCTGCTGGGCTTTTTCTACAAAGAAAGCCCTGGTAGACTCTATGACATTATACCTAGGGCTGCCAGCTCTTGGTTGGGAAATACCCGGAGATTTTGGAGGTGGAGCCTGGGGAGGGCGGGGTTTGGGGAGGGGAGGGACCACAGCAGAGTAAAATTACATTGAACTGACCCTTCAGAGCAGCCATTTTCTCCACGGGAACTGATCTCTATTGTCTGGAGGCCAGTTGGAATAGTGGGAGAACTTCATGCCTGACCTGGAGGTTGGCCATATTGTTTGTTACAGTGGTTAGCAGCCAGTTTGGTTTAGTGGTTAGGAGCAGGGACTCTAATCTGGGAGAACCGGGTTTGATTCCCCACTCCTCCACATGAAGCTGCTGTTGTGACCTTGGGTCAGTCATAAGGTCCGTCGGAGCTGTTCTCTCAAGGGATAGTTCTGTCAGAGCTCTCTCAGCCCCCACCTGCCTCACAGGGTGTCTGTTGTGGGGAGGGGAAGGGAAAGGAGCTAGTAAGCTGTGAGACTCTCAGGCGGGGTATAAATCCAATCTCCTCCTCCTGATCTCTCCTCCTCCTCCTCCTCCTCTTCTTCTTCTCCCTCCCCAAATCCCAATCCAGAGCCAGCAGCTCTAGACAGTGGAGAGTAGCTGGTTCAGAATTAGCCCCTCTATATCTACCAAGTCTGTGCTGGTTGCGGTTTATAAAATACTACGGATAAGGTCCGTTGTGATAATAAATACAACGAACTCTAGCCAGGCCAGCTAGTCGCAGCTCCCTTCATCTTTCCCCCCATCTCCTGTCCAAGACCCTGGTAGACCAGGGTGCCAGGCCTCATCACTCCCCCCCGTTTGAGGCCCGCCAGGCTCATCTCTCCCCCCCGTTTGAGGCGCTGGGGGCCCAGGGCACTAGGCCTCATCCTCCCCCCCCCCGCTCGAGGCCCCAGCGGGTGAGGCCATTTGGCCTCGTCCCTCTCCCCTCCTTCGAGACCTCGGCGGCCCAGGATGCCAAGCCTCATCCCTTCTCTCGCTGTGGCTCTCCCTGCCCCCAGCGGCAGACTCACCGGCATTTCTCCTCCCCTCCCACCCGTTTGAGGCCCCGTTGGGCCAGGGCGCCTGGCCTTGTCCCTTCTGTTGCTACGGCTCTCCCTGTCCCCAGCGGCATCAGCTTTGCCAGACTCATGGGGCTCGTAATTTCTCCTCCCCCCCATTCGAGGCTCTGGCGGGCCAGGCTGCCCGGCTTCGTCTCTCCCCACCCCCCAGCAACAGCAGCAGCAGAGTCACCAGCCTCATCCCTTCCCCCTCACCCTCGAGAGCCCAGCAGGCCAGGCCGCCCGGCCTTGTCCCTTCCCTCTCAGCAGCTCTCCCCACCCCCAGTGACAGCGGCAGAGTCATCGGAGTGTCTGTCCTCTCAGCTGGGGAGGGCAGGTGAAGACAGGCTGGTGACAGTGAGTGTACTCGGCCCTCCCGGAGGCCTCCCAGTGGCCTCAGGTGGACTGGCAACAGGCGGCACTCCATCAAAGGAGAGGCCCCACAGCACCTGGCCCTCCCACTGGCCTCAGAAGGGAACAGGGGGGCCAAGACGGGCCGATGGCAGGCGGCACCGAAGCAGAGGTGCCACACCTCCCTCCCCTCCCGTCAGAGTCATCGTGCTGCTGGCCGGGCAGAGCGGAGGCAGCGACAGAGAGGAGCCCATAGCAAGGCAGGCCGCAACGCTTTTGGCTCATCTCCTTCTTTCACCTCCCTCCAGCCGGGGCCCGGCTCTCCACAGCCCTTACATGATTGGGCGGCCATGGGAGGGAGGTGCAAAGAGTCTGCGGCTGGAGTCTGCGGTGGAAGGCGGTGGCAGCGCAGGCCAGCTGGGCTCGGGCTGGGGCCGGAGGGAGCCAGCAGGTGATGGCGAGGCCAGCTGAGCCCATCCTCCTGGCTCCCTGGCACCATTGGACGAATTGGAAGGTAAGACGTGCGTGTGTCACTGCCTGCGGCTGGCGGAGGGTCCATCTCGTCTGTCGTCTCCATGTAGACTGAGGGTGAGATGCTGGCGGGAGCCTCTGTGGGTGGTACCCCGCAATGCATCCAGCCAACGCAGCCAGCGCGTTCTGAGTGACAGTTCCAGCCACCAACTGATTTTTTATACCGGAACTCCTTCTAAGGATGGTTCCGAAGGCCCAACTCTGTCTTATGTATGGCAGTGGGCGTGCGTGAGTAATTTACCCGTGTATCCAGAGGGCAGATTTCAGAACAAACGCTCATATTTCCCAGGAATTGAGACAACACACTAGGTTTAATGAATAAATGTTGTCTTTACTAAGTATTTATCAAGCACACGAAAAACAGATACATTCACAGATTCACTCAAGTTCCTTTAATTCACAGTAGATACGAAAGCAATCAGTAAAGAAAATAATGACTTCAACAAACAATGAGGGAGAACACAGAAGGATAACGCTTATACTTATCTGAGTTCCAGTTGAGAAGAACTCTCCTCAGTAGAATAAACGGGAACAACAAAGTACTACTTTAGGGATTCTAAAAACACACGGAATGATCCAGCCAAACACGTGCGGGTTCTCCGGTCGCGACTCCAGAGAACTCTTAAGGATCACCTACAGTAGACTTAAGTTGCAAAGGTGAAGGTATATAGGAAGGATGGGTTAACCTAACTCTCTCCTAAACAAAGGCTGTGTTTCTCTTTTTAAAACCTAGTTTTGGGGGTTGGCATAAGGCCAATCTACACCTGAAATCCGTCCCCTTTTCTATACCTATATGTTGACGGGTTGTGACGCTGTACCTAGAGGGGAGTGGGGCGATATTCAAATTCTAAGCCTAACTTCAATGGAGAGCCATGTGGCAAGGTGTCAAAGTTGTATTCCCATGGCAACCTTTGACTTGCAGATGGTGCCTGGTCCAGGAAGGCAATAACGGATGTGGTCCCTTTTGTGATTCCAAACCAGATATGTGGGGTTACGTGTTATTCCAGCAGATCTGTAATGGCGAGAGACCTGTTGTTTTTCCAAGTCTCCAAAGACTGAGTGTAATGGCGATGGTCTTCTTTGTCCTCAAGCATGTCGGGAAGGTTTTGGGTATGCACGTGTCCATTAGCATAGGCAGCACAAGCCTTGTGCACAGCAGCTTCCAGGTGCAAACAGGATGGCATAGCAAGCAAATCCAAGACACAGCAATTCCCATATTCCACAAACACAAATGCAAAGACATTTTACAGACAATACAGCATCAGCATAAAGAATAAATAATACATTTAAAGCACACATGGTAACATTTTGCCACGCATTGAATCTTGCCACCCCAAGTCTCTTTTATAATATAAGGAAGGATTCTCCGGAGGGTTCTGGCCAGGAACAGAGCTTTGTTTCAGCAGAGTGGGCAAAAATGTATTTTCAGTCTCTGGAGGATTCCAGTGTGTCATCAGCTGTCTTCTCTTGCCAAGTGAAAATGTTTGGAGGTCAGATAAGACGGTAAGAAGTCCATTCCAATGGAACAGTTTTTTTTTTTAAGGGCATTGGAAGACAGGGCTGAAAGAGCTTAGCACAGCAGGGAAGAAGATAACTCCTGCAAATTTGGAGAAAAGTCCCGTGCTTAGAGATTTGAGCTCAGTATAGAGAGGTTCAAATAATCCTTATTTCCATGCCCAAATGTGATTTCTTTCTTTTTCTTTTTTGGTATTTTTGTAGTTGTGTGTTTGTGTGTCCGTGCCTGGAAGCCATGGCAACCTATGATGACTCCTACTGGGGCATGGAGGACGTTCAGAGAAGAAGAAGAAGAAGAAGAAGAAGAAGAAGAAGAAGAAGAAGAAGAAGAAGAGGAGGAGGAGGAGAAGGTGTCTCAGAGCAGCTTACAAACTGCTTTCCCTTCCCCACCCCACAACAGACACCCTGTGAGGAAAAAGAAAAAGAAGAAGAGATTGGATTTATACCCCGCCCTTCACTACCCAAAGGAGTCTCAGAGCGGCTTACAAACTCCTTTCCCCTTCCCCTCCCCACAACAGACACCCTGTGAGGTAGGTGGGACTGAGAGAGCTCTGACAGAAACTGCTCTTTTTCAAGAACAGCTCCTATCAGAACTACGGCTCGCCCAAGGTAATCCAGCCAGGTGCAAGTGGAGGAGTGGGGAATGAAACCCGATTCTCCCGGATTAGACTCCACGCACTTAACCACCACACCAAACTGGCTCTTACTGGCTTGATAGCCTGCCTCTGCCTCCCGGCCCTGGTATTCTTTGGAGGTCTCCCATCGAAATACTTGCCAGGGTCAGCTCTGCTTAGCTTCCGAGGTCTGATGAGATCGGGCTTGTCCAAGCGTGATTTCAAAGTTCTCTGAAGGTTTATTTATTTACTTTTATTTATTATATTTATACCCTGCCCTCCCAGCCATGGCCAGCTGCCATGTGCAGGAACTTATGCTTCGCCAGCTGCTCTTTATTTATTTATTCATACATTAGATTTCTATACCGCACCAAACCCCGAAGGGTCTCTGAGCGGTTTACACAGTTCCGAATCATCCCTAACTAAGGCCACATGTTTACAGGGGTCGGGGCTACCTACTGGCACCCAGGTGGCAGGGCTCGCTGTTCTCAGCTTGTTCCCGGGTGGTCTTTTTCGGGCGTTGGTGCTCTGATGTTCCTGGCATCCCTGGTGTCTGGCATGGTCTTTTCGGTCCGGTGGCTTTTCTTTCTAGGCGAGCTCCTCTAGTACGTGGTTCGCGTTGACTTACAGCCCAGCTAACGTCCGACCCGGCTCCGCTGTGCCTGCGCACGTCACCACATCCTTCTATGGCTCCGCCTCCGTCTCTGCCTCCGTCACTCCGCTGCCTCACTCCGTCGATCCGATGCCTCGCCATACCACCGTCGCCACCATTTTTCGCCGATGCCACTGCTGCCGCCGCCGCTTTGGTGCTCCTGCCGCACAACCCCATATGGGGGAGGGTGCCCCCTTCCACCTAAGGGCAGGTACCCATTAATCTACTCGCAATATTTACTTTGCTTTCGAACCGCTGGGTGGGCGGGAGCTGGGACTAGGGCCAGGAGCTCACCCTGATACATGCATGTTCCAGGTAGAGAGGATACACATCCAGACCATTCTATTCTGTTTTTTTCGCAGCAGTGTTCCCACTCATAGCTACAGTGGAAGAACCATCAGCAGAGCTCTCCCTCTCTCACACACACACTAGCCCTGTATGCAAGTTACAGTCAATGTTCCCTCTAAGCTTTGGAGTCCTGTGAGCAAAAATTCTGCTTTGTGAGCTACCAGCATTAAAGTTATGAGCAGGTGATTTGGCTGCTGCATAAATCAGTTTGCTTTGGAGCCATCCTTCCTGAGCTAAGACCAAAATCTGTGGGCCGGAGGCTAAAAAAAATGTGAGCTTGCTCACACTAACTCAGCTTAGAGGGAACATTGGTTACAGTGAACACACATACAATCCATGTACACTGTACACTTGAAGCACACATACTGGATGGGGGATACACTTCTGGATAGCAGTGTGTGTGAACAAGATCTTGGGGTACGGGTGGACTGCATGCTAAATATGAGCAGTCGGTGTGATGCAGTGGCAAAAAAGAAGAAGAAGCTAATAAGGTCTGAGGATGAATCAACAGAGGCATCACATCCAAATTGCAAAAATGTCATAGTCACTCTGTACACTGCATTGGTCAGACCATACCTGGAGTCAGGGGTCATTTCCTGCAGGAGCACACAGGAGCAGAGCTCTGGCAGTAAAGAGCCCAGGGGGCGGGCACATGCAATAAGCCCCGCCCCCTGCTCCCAGCAGCCCTCAGTCAGAGCAAGAAGCAGCCAGGGAAGTTGCAGAGCCCCCCCCCTTCAGCCCCCTCTGGTCCAAAACAGTCCAGTGCCACCTTTAAGACCAAGTTTTATTCAGGTACAAGCTCTCCCTCTGTGAGGACAGATCTGCACGTCCCCCCCCCCCAATAGCTAGCAACCCCAAACAGTCCAGTGGAGCCTGAGTGGTGGGTGTTGCCTTCTGACACACTTCCGGTGATGTCAGGGGGTGTGGCATATGCAAATGAGTTATGCTAATGAGTTCATTAGTGTTCATTGGTAATGTTAACTAAATAAGGGGCAACAGTAAAATTAGGCCAAGATTTTATGTTTCTGACTGCTGAACTACTCTTACTGTTAAAAAGCCCCCGTTCCTAATATCCAGCCAGTACCTTTCCGCCTGTAATTTAAACCCATTTTTGTGAGTCCTGTCCTCTGCTGCCAAGAACAGGTCTCTGCCTTCCTCTAAGGGACAGCCTTTCAAAGACTTTAGAGAGCACTCATGCCACAACCCTCAACAGTCATGCTCAGGGCAGCTCACAAACAAGGGCACCATGTGCTGATACATAAAAACAGAATTAAACAACTATTTTACATAATAAAGTGCTGAATGCTATTTATCTTCAATTGAAAGCAAGATGGTGTCCTGAAATTATTACACATTCCCAGTTCAGCGGTACCGATCCACCGTCCTGCTGTAGTTCGATCTTCATAGAGGGCCGTCCCCATTGTTACCAGGGATCATTGGTGATGGTGATAGTGGTGGCTCCTAATCAAAAGCCTGGTGGAAGAGCTCTGTCTTGCAGGTTCTGCGGAACTGTAAGAGGTCCCGCAGGGCCCTGATCTCCTCCAGGCACCAGGTAGGAGCCACCACTGAAAAGGCCCTGGCCCTGATTGCAGAAAGCTGGGCCTCCCTGGGGCCTAGGATCACTAGCCAAAGTTGTGCCCCAGACCGTAGTGCCCTTTGGGGTATGTGTGGGGAAAGGCGGTCCCTTAGTTATCTCCATCAGTATTGAAATGACATTCAGAAAACCCCCACAAGGGAAAAGTCCAAGGAAAATGTATGAGTAGAATTGATCAAAATCTGCACAGTGTCCAAAGTTGACTCCCACGTTTTGGCGATCCGGTCCCTTCTTCAGTAAAAAAAGAGAGCATCCAACGAACAATCAAGGTCAATTATTTTCTCCAGTCTAAAATGTAGGATTCTCTATGTCGACATGCGCTCACATTCTCTCCATCCGTGAGATCCTCCACCCCCTACAGCTGACGCTCACAGCCTCCCAGCTGGGTGGCAAGAGGAAAATGACTACCAAAAATAGGGGGAGGGTGCTGTTGGTGTCCCCAGCACGAGGGTGCAACTTCCAGCATGACCTAGAAGTGACATCATGTTGGGTGATGGGTGATGGGCTGGCCTTTGCCCATAGAGCTACGGTTAAACCATAGAGTTTCCAGCAAACTCTAGGGAATCACCCCTCTGAAGGTGTCCTTTCTGTGTAGGGTTGCCAACCCAGGGTTGGGAATTTTGGGGGGAGTGGAGCCTGGAAAGTGTCGGGCTTGGGGAAGGGACGGACCTCAGCAAGGTATAATGGAGTCCACACCCTCCAGAGCAGCCATTTTCTCCGGGGAATTGATCTCTGTAGTCGGGAGATCAGCTGTAATTCTGGGAGATCTCCAGGCCCCACCTGGAAACTGACAACCCTAAAATCACTCACTTTTCTTCCATCAACTGAGCTCTGCGTAACCAAAGTGGCAGGAAAGGCCACTCATAATACACCCATCCACCTCTTCACTGTAGCTCCCAAACCTGTGTGGTTAGTACTCCATAAAAGGTAAAGGTAAAGGTTCCCTTGCTCGAAAGCCAGTCGAGTCCGACTCTAGGGTTGCGGTGCTCATCTCCGTTTCAAAGCCGAAGAGCCAGCACTGTCCGAAGACGTTTCCGTGGTCATGTGGCCGGCATGACTAAACACCAAGGCGCACGGAACGCTGTTACCTTCCCACCGAAGCGGTGCCTATTTATCTACTTGCAATTTTTTGCTTTCAAACTGCTAGGTTGGCAGGATAGTACTCCATGGAGGTCCCTTAAGGGCAGGAATCGACTTTCTGGAGATCAAAGAGATTCCCAGGAAGGGGAAAGCAGGGCTTTATTGGTAGAAAAAGCCAAGCAGGAACTATTAGCATAATAGGCCACACCCAGCAGCAGAAAACATTAGCATATTAGGCCACACCCCATGCCTTCCCTTAGCTTGCCTAGGTGCCCCGCTGCTACGGGGAGCCCGGGAAAGCTGGCCCTTAGATAGGCCAGGGAAGGCATGGGGAGGCATTTAAATGCCTCCCTGATCCTTCCAGGGCCCCCCCGGCCCAACTCCCTTGGAGTCACCGGGGGGGGGGTCGCTTTCCAGACCTTCCCTCTGTAGCCACACATTCACAGAGGGTTTGGCTGTAATGGGCATGGCCAACTCTGAAGCCAGCCGGAACTCTGTTCCTGTGCGTTCCTGCCCAAAAATAGCCCTGGGGGAAAGTAGTGATGATCCATAGTTCTGGCCCAAGGGGATCACTGGATCCCGCTGCTTCGTCTCCCTGCACTCCCCTGCCACAATCTCTGGCATTAGGAAGTGGTACGAACAAAAATATTTCTGATTAAATCCTTTTGCCGCAGGAAGGTTAAGTCAAACCTTTCCTCAGTCAAATCGTTTGGCAGAAGAGTCCGCGAGGAAAGTCAAATCCTTGCTGATTAATTAACTGCCTAAGAACTTAATTTTGCATAAATAACCTTTTCGCCTGAACTCGCAGTGGTATATCATACCTTCAGTAGTGACATAGATAAAATGCTGGCTTCACTGGCTTTTCTTTTGCAGGAGTTGTGAGTGCATTTTATGGGCTATATGCAATAGATCATAGAATCATAGAGATGGAAGGGATCTCCAGGGTCATCTAGTCCAACCCCCTGCACAGTGCAGGAAATTCACAAATACCTCCCCCACACACATGCCCGGTGACCCCCATTCCATGCCCAGAAGATGACAAAAAGCCTCCAGGATCTCCAGCCAAATTGGCCTGGAGAAAAATGGCTTCCTGACCATAAATCTTTGTCACACTGGAAAGAGGGATCCAACACAGTCGGTGCTTAGGCAGGGTTCCCATTTGCCCACTTATGGTGGGAGACCTTCAGGCAATTGCAGCCTTTGCCCACCAACACTCAGGTCCTGATCCAGTAATCCCCTTGGGCCAGTACTGGGGAGAAAAATTAAACAGGAAAATAAGGCCTCAGATACTTACTGGAAGTTTTGACCATAGAGTTTCTGATGATTCCTAGAGCTACCCTTGTCACACTAGCTCTAGGAATTGCCAGGAAGTCTATGGTCAGAACTTCTGTTAAGCAGCCAAAGGGTGCGTTCAGACGGGCACCTAATCCCACCATTGGCCCGGCTCTAATTTGATCCAGATCTTTTTTATCCGGCCTTGCACAACATACTCTGTGGTGGATTGTCCAGACGGTATCCACCTGAAGGAGCCACGCGGTCAGGTTTTTAAAAATTCTGTTTGCGCATGCGTATCTATGCCTCAACATGTACTTGTTTTCCCGTGCATGCGCGGAATCGAATGGTTAAAGCACCATCAGTAGTACCTCCCTCTGGGCACCATTTTAATTAATGCAGTTCATAAATTTCACGGGCCATTCACAAATATGAAATTGTCTGGAATGTTTGAGTGGAGCTCTGCGGCTGTCGCGCGTTTATGCGCATATCGCTAAGGTTTTTTTAATGCTGACCGTTCAGGATGGTCTGCATACTGGAACGATCAGACAGAGGAAAGTCCACCATCGGCCCGTCAGCAATCAAAAGTACTGGATTTTCACTGGTATCTTTTAAGTACGGCTCCCTGGAAGTGGCACCTTTCCCAGATGTCGCTGTCTGATCATTCTCTTTAAATCTACCAGACATACGTGCCTGGGGCGGATGTCCTGTCTGATCAGGACCTAAGCCTTATTTTTCTGTTTAATTTTTCTACTGGGACTCTGCCTCCCCCCAAAACAGCCAGTTTGGTGGAGGGTTTACGAATGCAGAGTCTAATCTGGGAGAACTGGGTTTGATTCCCACTCTTCCGCTTGCAGCTACTTGTGTGACCTTGGGTCAGTCACAAGTTCTCTCAGAGTTGTTCTCTCAAGAGCAGTCCTCGGAAGAGCCCCACCTATCTCACAGGGTGTCTGTTGTGGGGAAGGGAAGGGACAGGAGATTGTGAGCCGCTCTGAGACTCCTTTGGGTAGTTAAGGGAGGGGTATAAATCCAATCTCTTCTTCACAACTCTCCTGCCACTTTCAGGAACTACCTTGCAGCCTTCTGCTAGGACCAGCACTGCTCCTGTTATGAAACATGGAGAAGCTACCAACACTACTGAGGATATGGCCCAGATCAAGAGTGATATCAAGTCAAGTCAGCCTTCATTAGCATATATCAGTCAATCGTTATAGAAATATACAAATGAAGAGACACTGTATTACAAATACATTAAATAAAATCATAGGTTACAACTGTCCCTTTTCTTGGTGCAGCAGCGTGGCAGATTGAAGGAACTTTACCACCTTCTCAGTTACTCCAACAGAGGAATCATTCAGATGTTTGTTAACTTTGTGGAATTTGGAAATCTGAAAAACCCATCATGTTGGCCAACACAGAGTTTAGATCTCTAGAGTGTATATTCACATAGAAATGACAGTGCATCAAAACATGTACGATCGTCTCAACACATCTAGATTTACAGGGGCAATGTCTACCAGCATACGCTGTCTTATTGAATCCGCCATATAGAATGGCGGATGGCGTGGCATTGCATCTGGCTAAAAAGAAAGTTCTACATAGATGTGGCACTTGTAGAGAAGATAAATATGGAGCTCCCCTACCTACAGTGGGAGGTATCTCGAAGCTCAGAGGAGAGTAGGTTTTGTTGGAGAGACTATGTAACTTCTGATGCTCAGTATCCAACATTCTCTGTTTAATCAGCTGAAATGCGCCTGGTAATGGGAGCATAGCCAGCGAATCCAGAAATATACCCATGGCCTTAATATTTTTATCTCAATATAAATGTTAGCCGGTTTGACATATTAGACTCTGAAACCACTTAGCATATGAGGCTTCCTGGCAATGTTCCCTCTAAGCCGTGAAATCTTGTCAGGAAAAATTCTACTTTGTGAACTACTAAGCCAGCCTTGGCGGGAAGGGCAGGGTATAAATCGAACTAATTAAAAATAAAATAAAGTTGTGACTGAGCGATTTGGCTATTGCATAAATTAGTTTGCTCTGGAGCCATCCTTCCTGAGCTGAGACAAAAATGTATGAGCCACTGGCTAAAAAACAGTGAGCTAGCTCACACTGACTCAGCTTAGAGGGAACACTGATCCCTGGGTCAGAATTATAATGTAGATGCAGCCAATAGTTAAATGTCATAAACCATGCCCTGGTTTCAACTAGATTCAGACCTGTTCCCAAGCAAAGAACTGCATATGGGACACACTTTGGCAAACCAACGTGATATCAGCCATGTAGAATATTAGACGATGACTTCTGTTTCCAAGTTGTTCAGCCAAGCTCGCTGATTATTATGGGTCATCATGACTTGGCTATCGGGCTTAAACCCTTCCTGGACTGTCTTACTTCAAAGTATGTATGGGGGAATTTGACTCACAATCTAAAGAGTGTATTATATCTAGACCTCAGCTGCTCACCACTACTCATCTGGGCAGTGGGAGGAAACTAGAAGGCAAAATGGGGGGGGGGAGAATCGTTGTCCCTACACAATAACACAACTGCCAGCATGACACAGAAGTGAAGTCATTGCACTGGGAGGCAATGCTCTAGCATTCGTCCCAATACTCTATGGTTTCCATGGAGTTTGGGGTAAGTGCTGCAGTGCGATGATGTCACTTCCTGGTGTGATGATGTCACTTCTGGGATGCACCACAAGTTTTGTCATTGTTCAGGGATGATGACTGCACCCCCTGATAAATTCCTGTATCCCCCATCTCCCACCACTTGCCAGTCAATACCTCACAACCCTAGCAACATATGAAGCCTGAAATCCAAGAATGTCTGTATCTGATGCTTACAGCTGTACCTTTGAATAGACTTTGATTTGCTCTTTGAATGTATAAATATACCAGAAGTTGCTGTGAATTCAGGGATTATTGTAGTGTCCTATTGTAGTATGAATGGGAATATAAAGATTTTTTTCTTTCTGATTATTCATATTTTTCTGGTTTTATAGTAAGATTTTATTAGGATATGATGAAGGCCTACTAAATATTGGGACTTTCTCTTGTAGGTCAGATTATTTTTCTAGCTGATGCCAGCAGACAAGAAAACAACATTCTTTTGGTATAGAAGATAGGCATAGAGTTCATGGGTTTTAGTTGTTTAGGGTAAAACTTTGCAGTGTCTGGGTCAAAAGAGATTTTAGCTTCATATCAGAAAAAAACACCTTTGTTTGGGTATAAAGAATCCTTGGCCAATATTATTCAGGTTAGGTCAAGTAAACATTTTAAGATATTATGTAGGCGCACCTTTTTTCATATTTGACCAAGTGGACTATTACTCAAATGATGCACTGTCCTTTGTAACCAATTATGCTTTTTGAATGTTATCTTCACAACTATGTCATTTCAAGTATAAAATCTCATGTACTTCCTGATTGTGTTCAGAAAGCAGTCCATTTTTGATAGGCTGGTTTGGCCTATCTGTTTTCAGGCGTCTTGATTGCAATTAAAACACTAAGAACCTTCCTCCTCATTTTGATTTATTTTATTTTCTTTTTTTTTAACTGGGAATCTATTTGTATAACACTGTGATAACGAATGAGGGGGGGGGTATAGTGTGCTCCCTTGTGAGAGAATGAACACACTGCAAGTTTTGCTATCAAGAAACAAATGTTAATATTTTGAGAATTCTGTTGCAAAATCCATCAGGGTCTTAATGATGAACACTTTCAGAAATAACATCCAGCAAACCCAGCGTGCTTAATTTGGGAAGCTGCCGTCTGTAGTGAAAACAGTGTGATTTTTAAAGGTCAAATTAAACCATGGGGCTTAATTATAACCTTCTTCCCAAATTGCATGCCTTATTTATTGCTAACGTATAGATCAACCCTCGTGGCTCTTACTTAACAGGGCAAGAGATAATTGGGAAGAAATCCTACATGTTCTTTCCCGGCTGCTAACTTCTGTCAGGTAGACAGCAAGCTTCAGTTCCATCTTTTGGGAAGCTTTCGGGATGGAAGGCCATCCTTCTACTGGATCATACCTGTTTTGCCCATTGGCGGAATGGCCTTTTTAAAGACGGCAGTTCAAACAACATGGGCCTGGTGAAGCAGTGCCTCTCCTCGCTCTATAAAAAGAATATCCAGAGGTTAACGAAGACATTTTAACACTATCACTACAAGATATGGCGAGTCGAGTGCAGCTCTCCGGGGCCCAGGAAGCTGAAAAATACGTCCTTCACATGATAGAAGATGGTGAAATCTTTGCTAGTATTAACCAGAAAGACGGAATGGTCTGTTTTCATGATAATCCGGAGAAATATAACAATCCCGCCATGCTTCACAACATTGATCAGGAGATGCTGAAATGTATAGAGCTAGACGAGAGACTGAAAGCCATGGATCAGGAGATCACTGTGAACCCTCAGTTTGTCCAGAAGAGTATGGGATCCCAAGAAGACGAATCGGGAAGCAAACCATCCAGTTATTCTTGAAAAATCATATTTTGTTTCGTTTTGTTTTGCTTGCTTGCTGCTCCATCGCAGAGAGGGGGGGGGAAGAGAGGAAAAAAGCTAAATAAAACCCCCACCTTTTAGGATGCAAGTATTTAAAAAGTCCTACCCAGCGAGCAGAGAGTGGACTGTTTCACCGGGACGTTAAAAGCAAAATGTAAACGACATCTTTCTCAGTACTGTATGGTTTCCAAATTCTCTGCAAAGAAAGGAAAGGGAAAAAAAAGAAATCTCCCCGTGTTGTGGATTGATCTTGATATTAACATCCATTTCATGCATTAAATAATTTACTTTTTGTTCTAAAAAAATGAACAAAAAACCCCAGTTAATTGACAATCTATTCAAGGAATGAATCCAGACTAAAAAACATAGAGGAGTTGAACCAGGATGGTATCTCTGTGTGAGTAACTGTTGTCAAGTTGCAACCAACTTATAGCAACCCGAGCAAGGGGCTTTCAAGGCATCCTCTGCAGAGCCTCCCTTGGTGGTCTCCCCTCCAAGTATTGACCTTCCTTGGCTTCCGAGATATGACCAGATTGGGCTATAGCCTGCTGCCTTCCCTCCTGGACCAAGGGGGTAGTCACATCGCATTCTAAATGAACGATGGCTAGATGGCCATCTGACAGCCATGCTGATTCTGTGGACTTACGGATATCACGAGAAGGGAAGGCAGAAAGGGTTGCCTCCGTGCTTAGTTCTTGTGGCCCTTTCTTACAAGTCCAGGGAAATGCTGGTTGCCACTTCGGGGTCAGGAAGCAATTGTTCTCCAGGCCAGTTTGGTCGGGAATCTTGGAGGTTTTTTGTCATCTTCTGGGCGTGGAACAGGGGTCACTGGGGGTGTGTGGCGGGGAGGTATTTGTGAATTTCCTGGAGGTCCCTTCCAACTCTATGATTCCATTTTAGCTATTCAATGGAGGGGTATGGTTTTCCACCACAATGTTCCTTCCTTACATGAACTGTTGCCCTGACGGTTTGTGTGTGTATGGGTTCCAGATCAAGTCAAGCCAGAACTCTCCCTAGAAGTTCAAATGACCAAACTGAGGCTATCATACTTAGGGTTGCCATTTGTCCGGTGGGGGTGGGAGGGTCCCCTGATTTCGCAGGCTCCTGCCCGCCACTGGCCAGATGGCTGGTGGGAGGGAACCTCCCCCCAACAGTGACATTGCACACGATGTACCTGCATCACCTGAAAGTGACGTCAGCACATCAGCGATGTCGGGGGGGGGGGGGGACGCTCTGGTTTTTGGGCCAATTTGAGGCCGACTTTACCATAGAGTTTTGCCCCAAAACCAGAGCATTGCCCTTGACATGCCTGTGTCACTTTAAAGTGATGTAGGCACAGCATGCGACATCATTTCTGGTGATGTTGGCACACCAGGGGTGACATTTCCGGCTCCTGGAGCATCCCCCCAACCCCTCACCAGTGTCTCAAAGTGACCTGGCAACCCCGATCATACTTGGGTCACATTATGAGAAGATAAGAGTTACCGGAAAAGACAATAATGCTAGGAAAAGTTGACGGCGGCAGGGAAAGAGAAAGCATGATATGGATAGACTCAATCGAGTAAGCCCTGGCCCTCACTTTCGGTTTGCAAGACCTGCAGAAGGCGATCAATGACAGGACATTCTGGAGGTCATGCATGCATGTGTGTAAACAAAGTCTGAGCCCAGTGGCACATTTAAGCTTTAGTGTGCATGCACACTTCTTATTTTATTTATTTATTTTAGTTACTTTTCACATTTGTATCCCGCCCTCCCACGTGGGCTCAGGGTGGCTAACAGGGGCAGGTCATTTGCCATGCCATAGATAAAAACATATACAAACATCCAAAACTAAAACCTCAGTAACTCAATCCAATACTAGTATCCTAAGTCCAAGATGGTATCACCACAGTTCCAGATGGTACTCCCATGATGTACGTGTCCAATAGCAGCGGCTTATCAGATCTTCTACAATTTCTAGGTTCTTCCTCGGGCCTCGTTGATGCATCCCTTAAGATACCTTGACGGTGGTGGTCTAGTGGGGGTGGCGGCTCCTACTTCTTCAGATACGGTGTGCATGCACATGAAAACTTACACTCAGGGCAAATCTTTGTTGGTCTTAAAGGTGCCACTGGACTCAAACTCCCACCACAAACACCTATCTCTATCCTTGCCTATCTGTACTTTCTTATCGCAAATGAATTTGCACCCAGATGTGCCTGCCTAGCTTCTTTTCTTGTCGGTTCTTACAGAGCTAACTTTGGAACAGAACCTGCAAGATGAATTTAAATGAAAGATTTTTTTTTTAATGCAACAAGCCTCCTAGAGCACAGAACAGTACAGCAAAGATAGGCAAACGCACGTAACAGCAAGCAGAAAACTGAAAGACGTGTGGCCTCTGTAACTTCAAGTAGCAATTAGTTTTTACTTGGAAACAACTTGGTGGTAAGCGAAGTCCACTTCCCCCAGTCCATGGGCTAGGCTCTTATAATGCACTCTTCTTGCATAGGAAATTAATGAATGGATTTAGGCAGGGCTTTTTTTGTAGAAAAAGTCCAGCAGGAACTCATTAGCATAATAGGCCCCACCCAGCAGCAGAAACTCATTAGCATGTTAGGCCACACCCCCTGACTGCACCACTCATTAGCATGTTAGGCCACACCCCCATGTTACCAGAAGTGTGGTCATCCAGCCACACAAACCTTTTGCTTGTTATTCTGTTTACCTTGTTTGTTGTCAAAACCCAGGGCTTTTTTTGTAGCAGGAACTCCTTTGCATGTTTGGCCACACACGCCTAATGTAGCCAATCCTAATGAGTTTCTGCTGTTGGGTGTGGCCTATTATGCTAATGAGTTCCTGCTGGGTGTGGCCAACTTGGGAGCCAGCCGGAACTCCGTTCCTGTGTGTTCCTGCCCAAAAATAGCCCTGGTTAGGCTAGTCAGTCTCCAGGTGGCAGCTGTTGATCTCCCAGGATTACAGTTGATCTCCAGATGAGAGAGATCGGTTCCCCTGGAGAAAATGGCTGCTTTGGAGGGCGGACTCTATCTAAGGATGTCAGCCTCCAGGTGGGACCTAGAGATCCCCTGGAATTACATCTTATTCTCGGTCTACTGACATCAGTTCTCCTGGAGAAAATGACTAATTTGGAGGGTGGACTCTATATGGCGTGGTACCCCACTGAGGTCCCTGTCCACCCCAGGCTCCACCCCCAAATCTCCAGGAGGTTTCCAATCTGGGGCAGGGAACTCTCTGCCCCCCACCAGTGACTAGGGCGACCCAAATTTTGCCCCAGAGAGGTCCTTCCCCCCTCCAAGCACCACCCTCTCAAGGCTCCATCCCGAAATCTCCCAGTATTTCCCAAGTGGTAGTTGGCCACCCTATCGTAGAAACCATCCCTTATACCACATGGTAAGAGCCCAGAATTGTATACAGCTCCCCAGCCAACATTCACCCTCTGTTGCTAGTCTCCAGTCACTGACTCCACCCTTACTGGGTGAAACCAGTTAGTTCCTGGGGGTGACATGCAGGATGCTGGTATGGAGGCACATCAAAATGAACTCCCCATCAAAAGCAAGGCAGTTCAGATGGAACAAGCTTGGCATCTTGGATATGCACCCAATTGATTCCTTCTTGTGCTGAATCTCATGGAAGAAGGAGAAAAAGCTTGCTATGTCCACCGTTTCCACCCTAGCATAATTTTCTAATACTCTCAGGAAGATGCCTCAACATTGGAGGGTCCCCTAGTTTAAAAACCGGAGCCCAGTTATGTGGACAGGCCCTATGTTACCTTGAACTTGGACCGTTAAGAGCTTCCCTCTAGCACAGATGACAAAGACTTGCTCTGAATACTGCAAGCAGTGGGCAACAGTGGGAGGGCTTCTAGTGTCCTGGCCCCACTGCTGGACCTCCTGATGGCACCTGGTATTTTTGGCCACTGTGTGGCAGAGTGTTGGACCAGATGGGCCATTGGCCTGATCCAACACTTGCTTCTCTTATGTTCTTATGTAAAGTTTCCTGATTCTCCCGCGCATTGTCTATTTGTGGATCTTAAATTGGTTGGTGAGAATGGATTTGGCTTCGCTTAAGACAATCCTGGATAGCTGCAACATATATTATTCAGACTGAATTGGCTCCAGACATCCAAAGATGTTCTCCTAAGCAGAGTCTACAGAATTTGAGAGATTTAATTTATACTGCCTCCTCTTTGTGCAGAAATAACTCGGGAAAAGATCAACAACCTCAGATATGCAGACAATACCACTCTAATGGCAGAAAGTGAAGAGGACCTAAAGAACTTCTTACTCAGGGTAAAAGAGGAGAGCGCAAAAGTGGGCTTGAAGCTCAACATAAAAAGAACTAAGATCATGGCATCCGGCCCCATCACTCTTTGGCAAATAGAAGGGGAAGTTGTGGAAGTAGTGACAGACTTCACGTTCCTAGGATCCCAGATCACCGCAGACTGTGACAGCAGCCATGAAATTAAAAGACGCCTGCTCCTTGGGAGGAAAGCGATGGCAAACCTAAACAGCATGATAAAAAGTAGAGACATCACCCTGCCAACAAAAGTCCGCATGGTCAAAGCAATGGTATTCCCAGTAGTCATGTATGGCTGTGAGAGTTGGACTATAAGGAAGGCCGAGCGCTGAAGAATAGATTCTTTTGAACTACGGTGCTGGAGAAGACTCTTGAGAGTCCCTTGGACTGCAAGAAGATCAGATCAGTCAATCCTAAGAGAAATCAACCCTGACTGTTCCCTGGAAGGCCAGATAATGAAACTGAAGCTCAAATACTTTGGCCACCCAATGAGAAGGGAGCACTCACTGGAGAAGACCCTGATGCTGGGAAAGATTGAAGGTCAAAGAAGACGGTGACGGCAAAGGATGAGATGGTTAGACAGTGTCATCGATGGCAACGAATATGAAATTGAGCAAACTTCAGAGGACGGCAGAAGACAGGAAGGCCTGGCGTGATCTGGTCCATGGGGTCGCGAAGAGTCGGACTTGACTGTGTGACTGAACAAGAACAACAAGTGGAAACTTACACATGACCAAATTAACACATGCCAAAATATTTACGGAATATTAGCGAACGATGACCCAGGCAAACCTAGTCTCATTAGATCTCGGAAGCTAAGCCAGCGTTGGCCCTGGTTACTATGTGGATGGGAGACCACCAAGGAAGTTCAGGGTCACTATGCAGAGGCAGATCGAGACGAGT